TAAACTTGGCTAAGAAGTAAAAACTGTACTTCATACAAGTTTGTCATCTAAAATTACACTGTTTTTTTATGCTGCTATTTTTGGTTTGGATTGTTGGTCAGAGCGACACGAGACAGTGGAAACAGGCCAGAGCTGCAGATTTGGCCATGGTTTTCAAAGGAAACTGCATGGTGACATGGGGCAGATGGTAGTAAGGATTTTTCAGCCAATTTTTTAGCCTCTAATTACTTCATTTAAGCGCTTGTCAGTGACATACACCAAAAAATCTTTACGTCTGCATTTCTGATTTTACATTCGGGGATGAAGGGGCTGATAACTTCCATCTATTACAAGCTCAGTTGAGACAAATTACAGCACAAGGACCAATAAAGCAAAGATATACATATGTGTGATCCCTAAGACACACATTTGAAGAACTTTATTACAGAGATGGGAAACATTAAGAAACTGAAAGATGTGGTGGAAGATTTTGAGTATCATGAATCAGCCTCCCTTTGTGCCTGTTTTTTCTTTACTCTGCATTGACTCTACCATTCATCTCTTTCTCAAGCATCACTGGCTCATCTGACCAGTTTCTTCTGATGTTGTTTTGTTGCCATGGTTTCCAAGTGCTACAGTATGCACCAAGGTACTGTCTGTGCAGAACAGCTCTGTATGTTCTCACTGCCGTCACTGGCCAAGATTGCTGCCACTTTGTGACGGGTACAGAGCTGGAATTCAAACCAAAATCTAAAAATTGACAGAATATCATCCAAATTCATCTTATCACAGATTTTTACCCCACTAAACTCTGATATATTTTTTTCAGATCTTCAAATGCCATCCACAAGTAAACATTACGTAAAGTACAACAACACATAGGCTTTATATCAACAGAAGGCAAATTACATAAATCTTAAAGATGTGCTGATATCAGCTTTTTAAGATCTCTTAAATTCTCATAACAAGCTATTAACAGTTTGGAAGAAAGGTGAAAATGGACATCAGTGAGGAAATATAACGGCGCATGGCATTAGCAAGGGCTTAACTGACATACAGAAAAAAGAGAAGCAAACAAAATACTGTTTGCTGTGACACTAACAAAGAAAAGAGATAATGATAATTAAGTTGGGACAAAATCCCAGCTGTAATGTCTGCTTATTTGTTAGTCTTAGCAATGCAGCACAACAACCTATAACAGGGCATTGGAAAATTAACCATTTCAAACTGTCACCAGGCTTTTCTAAGTGTGAAATGAAGGGTTTTAGCATTTTGCTGATATTTTGGCAGCAACCAACTACGTACACAGATCATTTTTGCAGGAAGTATTAAGTCGTTTTCAAAGGTTCTGCTTCTAAACTTCCATGGGAAAAGTTTTTTACTTCAATAAGTGATTACCTATGTCCCATAGTGTGGAAGAGTCTGTCAAGCAAAAGTGTTCAAATTAAACGTGTGACATTATAAAGACAAAACTACTACTATTTGAGAATGTAACCTCCCTTCTGGTAAAAACACTGTCCTTCTGGACTCTCAATGTTGTGCCTTTCTTCTTATCGTAGCAATCTTAATTTAGCTTTGAATAAACTGCATTTATGTAACAAAACCCTGGCCTGAGGAATTAGTGAACTTGAATCCCCCCAAGAAAAGCAGGCAATAAGTAAATAAATAGAAGGTTGAATTTAGAGCTATAAAATGTCTTTCTGTATTCAACCAACTTTAAAATTTACGTCAATGTTTTCTTTATAGCTTCATTAAAAAAATAAGGCAATGGCCAATAGTATGATTTGAAATTATAAACAGGGAAATCCTTTGAATTTTATTCCATTGTTATGTAAGAATGGAATATCTTCTACTGCTTGTCTTGTTTTATGCACAACACAGCCATTTTGGGAATGTTTTTTTTAAAAGGAACACTAGTAGTCCTGCACCCCAAATGTTGAGGGTTCAATTTCAGTATTTCTCTGCACACTTAAAAATGTTTGCTAATACAGAAATTCTTTTTAGCAGTTTCTTTGACAAATAAAACCAAAACTGTTTAAATTCAATAATCTGCGCATATTTAGACAAATCTGCTTGTAGACACAATGCATGAAGTTTCTCATTTTTAAAGCGATTTAATTCAATTCAATTCAATTTTCCTTTGGGATTATTAAAGTAGTTTGTAATTGAATTGGATTCCCTTTGTTTATAAAACACAAATTTGAAACAAATAGGGTTTCAGTGCACTTTACAAACATATAAATCAGTTACAAAGCTTATGTAGACAGATTCAAATGAGCTCACATACTTTCGTGGTCCTAATAATATACTAGTAGAACTAATTCAAATAATTAAATCTAATTGCAAAATTAATTTTATAATGTGAACTGGTTAAATGTTTTTTTTTCAAAAAGCCAATTGGCTGCATCAACTTATTAACTTGGTAGCAATTCTTCATAATAAATAAATACTTGGCAATAGAAAAACTGAAAAGACCAAATAATATATGTGTCAAGAACATAGACTGTATCGTAAATGTTCAAGTGTTTTACACTAAAGACAAGTGCTTAAAAGCAATCAGATGAGTAAACACACATAGACAACATATGTCATATCCACTGAGGTGAAGGGCTGGGTATAGCATGCTTGTTGTTTTTTTTCCCTCTCACTCTTTCTGCAGGGTGTAACTGACAGGTGGGGTCCAGCAGCTTCAACCCATCCGCACTCATCACAAGCTGCATCAGGAGGAGTGATCTACACGAGAAGGACACCGGACTGTCTTCACTTCAGTGGTGGATTCCTCCACTTGAGTTTCAACCTGCGCCAGGCCATGGAGTCTACTACGTAGCTGTGAAACCCCCACTCCTTCTGGCCTTTTAACGGATTCTGCGCCTGCTTGTCTGCTGTTTCTGCTCCTAATCTGCAGCGACTAAACTCACTTCTACACTTCTCACTCACCTGCCTGTCCACCCTCCACACATCCCACTGCAGCCTCTTTTGGGAGGAATCAGATGAACATAAACTAACCTGCTCATCTGTTATCCTTCTTCCTTGCCTCTGTGGAAGTGAACTCATCCTCCCTGGACTCCCCATTTCCAGCCACATATGCCTGAGTTAAACCCAAGCAGCCCCGGAAATCCATGCAGATATTTTCAATTTCAATAAACTTAATTCTATCTATATCCTGAGTCTGTAATCACTGCTTGCATAAGAGTCAGTGTGGTTCCAGGAAGGCAATTATTTACAGTTTTTATCTGCTTGGATCTTTAATATCAACTGTTGTTTTTAATTAACGTCCTGAAGAGGCTGAACACATCATGTAAGCATTTAAAGCACTCACTCCGAGGACTGAGTATGGCAAAAACCCCAAGATGATCCAAAAGATTTTATTAATATTAATAATGCTGGAGGATAATAGGTGATGAACTCTAGACTGCATCCTTTATGCCCATCATCAGCTACTTTTTCTCACTTAACCAAAAATGGCCTACAGACAGGTGGGACACTTTATTACATCCTTAAAAACATGTGTAACTTAACATCCTAATGTGTACAGCTGGATACTGGTTTCCAGAATCAATTGAATTCTGATTATCAACATACAGAGTTGATTCTTTTTGATCCGATAGAATCCAATCTCAAATTGGATTAATGGTATTTAAAAAAAACATGTTACCTGAATTAAATGACTTTGTAGTTATGCATATTGATACTATAAGCATATTTAAATGCACAGGCATTTAGTAAAGCAATGCATCCACAAGGACAATAGAAAATTCATTTTTCAATTTATCTTTGGTTAAATGAATCAGTGTTTAGAACTGAGACCAGCCAATGTGTTATGTAAATAGTTACAGTTGCCATATACCTTATGCATGTTTTTTTTTTTTTTTTAAAGAAGAACTATATTCAGTTTTTTTTTTTTTACATAAAGTAGTGCTGGTATAAGTCATTTATAATATTGTATTGTTTCCCAAAATAAAAGACTTAATATGTTTAATATGTTTATTCAAAATACAGTGAGGTGAACTGAGGATGTATCTGTTGGTATATGTCTAGTTATTATACACTTATTATGTAAAATATTTAAGGAATAACCAATGCTGTACCCTTAATGTACTAAAATAAGGGCTATGAATTAGGGGTGGAATGGCATTAAATTGAAGTGGATGAGGGTCAAATTCAAACACTGCTTTGGGCCCCAAACAGCAAGGAGTCAACTATGTCATTAATTAACCTTCTCTTGAATTGTATACAAACATCTGATTTCTGAACCATGTTATCAACTTTAAAACCATGCTTTTTTGAGCAGCACCCCTTGATGCAGCATTTTATGGCAGCATACTCCCATTATTTCTAAGACACACAGATATTATCCATGTTATCATACATTGCTCCAATATCTTCATATATAACCATCCTCTCAGTATTTTCCTTCCACTGGGAAACAGTGTTCTTATATTTTACTCACTGACACAGCCTCCTTCAGGAGTGCGTAAATGTGCGGCTTAAAAGCCGCTTTTCAAAAATAAGTGGAGAAAAACTGCTTAACTGTGAAACGATGACAAGTGATGACAAGAAGACAAGGACACGGCGTGACTGAGTGTGTTAAACTCAAGTAGCGTTTCTATAGGAGCACAAAGCGCACTTTTAACAAATGCTGTCAAGTTTGTTAACGAATTTCTCAAGCAGGTCTTTCCACTAATAGTTATGGAGAACAAAACTTATATTAATAAGAGAAAAAAAGATAGATTCACCTGCAGCTGATGCAGATTGACATATGAATTAATGTTTTTTTTTTTTCATATAATCAGATGTGGAAGAATAAACCATGTAAAAGACAGGATGAAACCATACTTATCTACTATAGCTACAGAAGTTTTAAAACCAAAACACGTACGGCGTCCTTGTCCAATCATCTTGCTGAATACATTATTCTCAGATAATATCGAAAAGATTTATTTAATTTTATTTAATCTTTTTTAAGCATTATTGATTTATGATTGATTTAAAAAAAAAAAAAAAACAGATTTCTCACTTACCTTCAGAGAAGTGGACTGGTTCGGTTCCAATTAGCGATCTTGCGTCTGCTCCGGTTTGGCTGAGGGGTTTTGGTTTGTTTGTTTCTTTTCTTTGCGCTTTGACTTTTCTTCAGTCCTCGCTAATGTTACATGCGCCTTGCAGTTGGACACATGTAAAGATCCTCAAGCATTTCCAACAAGTCAGCTTATTGACGGGAGTATTACGTGAGTGTGTGATGGTGAGAGCGGGGCTGTGATGATGCAGGAGGAGGAGTTGCGCGCCCGACGCGCGCTGCACTGCTTTAATGTTTGATTGCGCGGATACAGCATTGCATCAAATCTTCATCATCATTTTTATTCACTTCTTTTTGTGTGTGTGTGGTTTATTTGATCGTGTCCACATTTAACAAAAGATCTTCACTCAATAACTTGCAACTCACACAAAACAACATCTCTGAAATGTATTTATCAGATTACATGGAAAATAATAGAAAGAATCTTAATGATTCAATTTTAGGAATAAAGAAATAATAGTCTTAAGGGGGTAAACTGCAACTTCATACAAAGCAAAAGCAGACCAGTCTGTGGAGAAACAGACAGCAAAATAAAGCAGCAATGGTGCGTAGCCAGTGCCTGCTTTTTTTCTTACAGAAAATCTAGTAGGTGATATGATTAAGGGAAGCAATCCAAATGAATTCTAGACCTTCCGGTCGTGTTAAAAAGCATCTCTGCGGTGCATTTCAATAACAGAGAAATGCAAACCTGTAATTGCTCTAAAAGAACTAATAAAATTTAGAAAAGCTTCAACTTCAATTAGACTAATTTCACACACAGATTAGCCTATATTTTAAGAGTTTATATCAGTCAATGTGGAAGAAAAGGGCAATGGAAATTTAGAATATAACTTTTTTTTCTCTCCCCTGAAGTATGTCTGCATGCAATATGTTTGGTCAATAGTTTTCTAAATTATTATCAATGCAAAATATTTAATAATTGGTCAATATTTGCAGCTAGACTGGGTGAATACACTGGACCTTAAGCAGCTTGAAATTTGTGACCCACTATTCCTCTGCACTTCTGAACTTTGATTTCAAAGAAGGAAATGCAACATTATCTTTGAACCCCTGTATGACTGTCCAAACATTTTCTATTTGGTGCGGATCAGATAAGTAAGCATTGCCTCTTGTTTAGGAATGGCCTAATAAAAGGCATGTGAGACATGTTGTGGATGCGTCTATGTGTCTATTGACAAAATGACTCACATTTAATTTCATAACTGTCCCTCAAACTCTTCAAAAGGCTTTGCTTAACAAACATGTCCTGCCTTTAATTAACCCTGTTTCTTGTATACTTTTTCCTTCCATTAGGCTTTCCATTATATTTGCTTGATAACAGGACTCTGGACACTTGATTAGCTCTCTAATTAGAGGGCAATGGCTGTTTGGGGCTTACCTTTCTTAGGGAATATTATAAATGGTGGTCCCCTGGACAACTCTTAACTGAGTAATATTCTGTATGATAACATATTAATAAAATATTTCTGCATTAGAAATACCTTCAGGTGCATTTGCCTTCTGTTATTGCAAGGTAGTAATACAAATTCTTCCAATTTTGGGGGATTTGTTACAAGTAAGACATAGTCCAAATAATAAGGAATATTTACATCAAACACTTCATATAAAATATATTGATGTGTACTTATAGTTAATTGAAGAATTAGTGCTGATTTTCTATTCTAAAGCTTAAAAAAAACACCAGAGCCTCATTATTTAAAGCTATATATATGACCAGGAACAAAAATATTTGGAATGTGTTCCATGATAAGTGAGGACATTGCGAGCCATAAACATCAAACGCCCACAACACAAGGGGCGACTGTCCAAGTCAAGGTGAAAATTCTTTTTTTTGCCACCCTCACGCTTAGTTTATTATTGCACACTGTTCTGTACAAAACATGGCTCTCTAAGTTGTCTGTTGTGTTTAGTAACAACACTAGATCATACCTTATGAATGCATCTTCCTGCTGGGATCATTCACTTCCTGACCCACAGCTACCTTCCTTAGAGTACACAAAAAAAAAGATTTGTTTTTTTTTTTTTAAGAAAATAAGAAACACTAGAGAAACATTGATTTTTTCTTAGTTTTGTTAAAGAATACCTATTAAAGATTTTCACCCTTTGCCATTATGCAATCTCAAACTTCAGCTTTATGTGGAAAAAGGAATACAATAGGGCAAATATAGGTAATGACAGGAAAACATATAAATGGTTTTCAATGTTATTTAGAAATGTAAATTTAAAAAAATAAAGCTATTATATACACTATATTGCCAAAAGTACTCACTAAACGGCCTTGACTCCCATATGAGTTTGAGTGACATCCCATTCCTAATGCACAGGGATTCAACATGACCTTGGTCTAATCTTTGTTGCTAGAACACCTTTACTCCTCTGGAAAGGCTGTCCACAAGGTTCAGAAATGTGTTTATGGGTGTTTATGGGAATTTTTGACCATTCATCTTGAAGTTCATTTGTGAGGTCACACACTGATGTTGAACTAGGAGGCCTGGCTCTCACTCCCTGCTCTGTCAATGTTAAGGTGTTCTATTGGGTTAAGGTCAGGACTCTGTGCAGGCTAGTCAGATTCATGCACACCGCAATGTGACATCCATGTCTTTATGGACCTAGCTTTTTGCACTGGTGCACATGCTGGAAGAAGTGGCCTGCTCGAAACTTTACCCACAAAATTAGAAGGATGGAATTCTCCAAAAATGTGCCTTTAACTGGAAATAAAGGGATGAAGCACAGCTCCTGAAACATATCCTAACTCTATGATCCCCCCTCCACCAAACTTTAGACTTGGTACAATGCATTTACTACATACGTTCTCCTGGCACCAGACAAACTCAGTCTCATCCATCAGATTTCCAGACGGAGAAGCTCATATTGTTACTTCAGAGAATTATAATAGCTGGTTGGAAACATTAAACAGCAACTCTTGTGGTATTTATCAACACCTAATGTCTCCATACCATTGCTCTGCAAATAGTATATCAAAGTGCAAAGCTAGTAGCTGCCATCCCAACAGATTCTACTCTTTGTTTTGGATCTCATTCTTCACATTGCTCTGACATAGTGTAATGTAAATATGCTCTTTTATTTGATTAGTGTCATCAAGAGATTCAAACTTGCAGGGAACAGAACTGTTCTTAAGGTCTAAAGGTCTCACACATGGATATTTAATTGTCCCCCTAAAGAGTGGAAACATAGGTAGAATGGTCTTGCAGATACATTTACCGGTATCAAAAAAGTGACCTTGCTGTTTCTTACCTTCATTTTTGGAATGTATGTCCACTACACCTTTAGCCCTAATTTAAACTTGACCATTATTTTATTCCGGACCAATCTGGTCTTTTCCTTGACTTTATCATGCAGTTTGTTGATTAATGTTCTATAACAAACCCCAGAGGTCTTCCCAGAACAGTTGGATTTAAACTCGGAATGTATCTTGTACAGAAACCAAATTCATTACACAAATTTTTTTTCAGGTGTATGAATACAACTGATGTAAATTTTTCAGATTTTAATTTTTAAAGCACTCTTTATGATTTCAGACCATGTATTATTTTACTTTTAGTAAAATAATACAACTACAAGTTTTAGTCTGTGAGGCAGATATCCTGCCTACTTTTAAGATTAGGCTTAAAACTTTCCTTTTTGATAAACCTTACAGTTAGAGTAGCTCAGGTTAATCAGTGCTACCTCCATAGTTATGCTGCTATAACCTTAAACTGCTGTAGGACATAGACACAACTTTTCATCAGTCTTCTTCATTCTATCTCTATTATCCCATTCTGCAGTATTTGTTAATTCAAACTCAAACTTTATGATCTCTCTTCTCATTCTTGTCATGGAAGCTTCATCTCGTCTGTTCCTGTTTGGCTGTGACACCATCCCCCGAGAAAAATATCAGCTGTGCTGCTGCCATCAACGCCTTTGTTTATAGATGTTGGAGCTTGGCCTGTTTCTCAGTGTAGTCCCTTTTCTCTGACTGACTTCCTGGATGTGCTCTTTCTGGATGTCTGCTTCTATCTCCTTGAACCCTAGTTGGCCTCTGCAGAAGTCTGCTCACACTGCGCCTGGCATTTCTGTAGGTTTCTTCCTGTTAAAAGGGAGTTTTCCTCTCCACTGTTACTACATGCTTGGTGTGAAAGATTGCTGAAGAGTCATTGGGTTGATGCAGTCAGCTGATTTTTCTCAGAAAACTCTGAATCAATCTAACAGTATTAAATGGTCTCTGTAAAATTATATATGCCGTGAATGGTGCTATATAAATAAAGTGAATCAAATAAAATTTATTTTGACATAAAATGTTTTCACATCGTTCTGTTGATCTCTTACTTAAAACGGCAACAACATCAACGGAAATTTGTTTTTGTAATATGAGGAAAAAGTATCAAAAGAAGGTGTGCAAACATGAACTTCATACATAAAAGACAGAATATTATTTAGTAAATGCTCACAGGTAGGCAGGCTTTGGCACCACTTTATGTAACAAAAGTATTTTCTTTCCTAAAAATGAGTAACACCACTAAAAGGCCACTGGGATAGCTGGAAAAGAGAGTGGTGGAGGATCTTTAACCTGCTCCCCACCAACCCACAAAACCTCCCACGCTTCTCTCTCTGACTGTCTGCATCACATGGTTTCTGCATACCTGGATGTGTTACATTATTTTCTTGTTGCATTCTTACAGCATGGTATAAATTCATAACCAACCCCCCCCGTCAGTCACTTGTATGTGTGGGTAACAAACATTGTGTTGTAAATTGAGTTCCTAAAACTAGATTTTATCACATGAAACCTTTTAAAGCTTTTCAAGCATTTTAAAAATATGTGATAAAAAGGAGTTCCACTAACACATTAGCAGGCGCAGCACATAAACAATGTTTTTTCTTCAAACACAGACAAGCTCAACTCAGTCTGTATCAGAATTAGGTCAGAAATGTATTTTGAATAGGAATAATCTGATCCTAACTCAGGAACAACTTGACATAGAATGCAACAAGTAGGTCACTTCTCTTTTTGCAAAAGATGCCTTTACTCAGCACCTGCATGTTTGTGCTCAGGTAATTATATGCCCATGTGTTCGGCACAGCAGCCAAACTGACTCTAACATCTATGATGTTGGTGCACTGTCGCCATAGTAACAGGCTCTTTAGGATGATGATAT